AAAAAAAAAAGGGGGTGGGGAAGAAGTAGACCTTGCATTTGAATCATCAGGTCAGAACACGTTAGGTATGTGTTAGTGTTTTTATGTCCCACTTCAATCCTGCCCTCAATTACACTTTATCACTTGCATTTGTGCAAAGCAGACAGCATTCCAGCATGTGGAGTTTGATCCAATATAAATAAGCCATGAGTATCTTCAGATTTATATATGAAAAATGCTGTGTTAAAAGCATTATAAAAAAACTGTTTTTCAACAGTCAATGGCAAAAACAATGCCATTAATTTGATGTACTCAAAATGAGCCAGTTCTCATCGCTTAGTGGCCTGGGATATTCTGGTCTTTCTCTTCAGTCCATCTGAAACAAGCCAAGTCACTCCAGAACATCCCATTGATAATCATACAGGTGTCATCCCCCACCTCAGGGGCCTGGGATACTACCTGCTGGCAGTATTTTTTGATTCCTTCCGCACCAAATACATCTCTATTGCTATTACTCACAAGTTCATGGAAAAAAGAAATGCAGATACACTAAGTGTAATATAATAATCCACTTATACTTAATTTACCTTTAACAAATGCTCATTTTTTCCACTGAAATTTAAATAGGCTTTCAGTCCCTAGTCCATGAGCTGTTTTACTTTTAAGGTAAAAGCAATCACAGCTTAAAATCGTTCTTTATGCCCCAATGCTGGAATCCATTCCGCTGTAAGGATTTTAGAGAAAAGTAATTTTAAAAACCACACTTCAAGAGTCCATTCACCTTGTTGTTGAAGGTGCAATTAATTTTAAAGTGTTTCCCCAATGCTGGAATCCATTCCGCTGTAAGGATTTTAGAGAAAAGTAATTTTAAAAACCACACTTAATGAGTCCATCCACCTTGTTGAAGGTGCAATTAATTTTGAAGTGTTTCTTGGAAAACTGGGAACTGTTTTAACAGTAACAAAAATATATCCTCCCAAAACACTGTTTAGGCTGTCAGAGCATGGTCTAGGAACAGCTTTAGTATCATCCTCTATGGAGAAATCAAACACGGGTCTCAGCATCCTCAGCAACCGCTCTCACTACGGAGATAATATACAAGAGACAGCTGCTATTTCCACCCCCTTTTGGGAAGAGGGCAGATGCCTCAGAGATCACTACAAAACAAATTCTGTCTTCTGCTGGTCAGGTTAAGAAATACCCGTACTAACTGGCTCCCTGCTCACCAGCACATGCAGTTCACCTCTGAGGAACCATCCATGTGAATTAGGAAACCAGCCTTACCCAGACACCACACTCGAGACTGCTGAGTCTGTCACTAGGACCACGTGTGTACAAATGACTTTCTACGATGGTAAGATTGACCAGTGTAGCCTGGATCCACAGACAGACTTCGGTAAGCAACCAGCAACCGGAATCCAAACTGGATTTATGGTCCTTTAAGGCTCATTAAAATGCTCAGCTCTGCACAAAACAGAGTTCATACTTGGAGGACTGTTCAAATACACTTTATATTCTAGCACTTTATGTGGGGTAATTATCTCTTTTGTCCTCCAAATAGCTCATAGAATTTTTTATGTTTTCTTTGCAACGTTAACATAAAGTATGAAAATATCTTACTGAGGACATTCATTGCTGTTGTTAAAAACTTTGTAATATTAAACACAAGTATCATTCCTTTCAGTCTTATGAAGTGGAAAGAGGATTAAAGATTGCATTTTTTCAACTACTTCAGAGTCAACCAATGCCACTGAAACAGTCCTCCCTCCCCTGCCCTGTGAACCTGCACTCTCCTACAGTCAATCATTCCAGAACTGCAAAATTAAAACTATAAACACTGGAAAACGTTCAAGGGTTTTAAATACTCAAAATAGCAGACCCTGAACCACTGCAGATCAGTAACAGCCAGACTGGGCTCGCTTTGCCCGCAGTACCCTAACTGTCCATATTTTTCTCTTCAAAAAAGACCCTAACATTCATGTTTTCAAAGGGTATTTATTGTATCACACACTTTCTACAGTGAAACACGGTTTTTGTTTGTTTTTCAATCATTCAGTTTACGTGACCATCTCTCACTTACCTCAAAAATCAGTGTGGCGTTTGGAGGTATCTTTGGGGGGCTCCCAGCTGAGCCATAGGCATATTCTGGTTTACATGTAATCCGACAGATTTCACCAACCTTCATAGTTGCCACCGCAATGTCCCATGCTTTGATCACCTCACCTATGCAAGTCAAATTTCAACCACATAATTGGTAGGCACACATGAAAGACAGGGTCAGCTGTGAAATCATCGCCTCCAGTATTCAAAAGCCAAGAGAGCAGAAATGCGGGAAGACTTTGTTCACTCTGACTTGAAAACCTGGGGACCCATATTTGGCTAAAATTATTTATTCTAGGTATAGCGATTCTTTTCCTCACCCACGGACACAAGTCACCTAAACACAGACATGGGCTGAAGCACTTGGCAGAATCTCAAGTGTGAGGAAATGAACTCTTCAAAGAGGAAGGTCTTCGGGTGAGAGACTGCCTGCTCCTATTTTGAAAACAATCCAAACCAACAGCCTTTTCTGCTTGTACTTTATCAGTTGGCAAAGTGCAGGACAAGTGGTAACTAAAAGTTACACACACTTGTAACAGAAAGGGGGAGGAAAGCAGGAGAAGTAGTATTCCTTCTAAAGCCAGAAGTGAACAGAAACTGGGACCTCAAGTAACAAAATCTTATCTCTTACTCCAGCTCTCCTACTTGCTGCTCCTTTCAACTCCATTAAGCAGCCCTTCCGTTACTCTTGTATTAATAGGTACCCATCATATAATCAAGTTTCAGTATACTGCAGAACTCCTCCCAGATAAAAAGCACCAGGTAAGGAAATACCAGCGAAAAACTCAGATCGAGTTGCTTTGCTGGCACAAGGATATTTGGATTTTTGCATTCAAAATAACAAGACTTTTTTATAAATAAGAGATGCATTGCTTCAAGATTCAGATCTGGGTTAATGTGAAAACTTAGGGGAAAAAAAGGAGTATGTTTCATCATACAGCAGCTGACAGCTGTCCTAGTCACAATTAAGTACTCCTGAACTAGAGTCTTCTACCAAAAAAAAAAAAAAAAGCCAAACAAAAAAACCCACCACACCAACAAAAACCCAACAAACAACAAAATGCACGTTCTGGCTATTTAACTACCCTTTATCACCATGCTTCAGGGAAAATTTGTGCCCCTGGAGTGCTTTGTCTGAGGCTGGGGAATACTTCCGTAGGGCTCATCAAGGGGCTGCAGTTTTCTCAGTCAGAAAAAAAATCTCAAAGCCGTTGTGATTGGGCCATTTTAAGAGAATAAACCTTAAGCTCTGAAAACAAGTTTAAATAGCAACTTTAACATGCAAAGGAGCCACACACATGCAAGGAAATCCCATGTCAATTATTACCAAAACTCACCAATACCAAACGTAACACCTTACCTTTCCCCAGGTCAAATGAGAATTTGTCTCTCCTGTCCAGACTGGAGTCAAATTTTGTGCCATCAAGAAGCCATCCTGTGTAGTGGACAGTCACCTTATCACCTATCATTGGAGACTCTGTCCCACTGCCTTCTCTCTTGACGACCTGAGAAAAAACAGCAAGCAACGTGAAAACCAAGCCTGCCTGTTGGACCTGGCTTCCATTTGCTTGGTTGCATGAGTTCCCATCTTCGGCAGATAAAGGATTTGCAGGTTTACTGCAGCGATCTACCTAGTCTGGCTGCAGATTAGCAGTGCTGCAAATGCAGGAACCTCAAGATGGCTCTGCTGGGATGTGAGAACTGGCAACAGCTTACAGCTCTCTGCACCTATAGTTAGCAGTGTCACTTACCATTCCTCAACAAGATTTAAGATGTTCTTGAAACTTAATCAGGTAGAGCATTAGGCAAGGGTGCGGGGTTTTTCTGCTTTATTCAAGCCCCTCCCACCACTCTACCATTACCCCCAGTTCAGTGTTCTAGGCAAAGTATTTAAAGAACAAAATGAGCTGGTTCTTTCTCTGCAAAGTCCGTTCTAACACGTAATCTGGGTTTATTCGAGTTAAACCCGACAGTTTAACAAAGGTTAATGGACTCCCGCCCCGACGCCGGTTAGTTCTAGCAGCCAAGGCAGTAACAGTTAGGAATTATGTCAATTTTGTCTCCCCACAACTCTGAGACGGATGACCAGCACCGCTATTTCACATACAGCTGCAAGGATTTGATTTTCTTCCCATTAGGTTCCCTTAGCCTAGCTAGCAAGACCAGTATCAACTAAATCTACACTACACAAAAAGCACGATCAGCCAGTCTCTCTGCTGTTCATCTGTGGTGTGTATCAAACCAGGGAGTAAAACTGACATCTCAGGGCAAGGATACCTTGCCAGATTTGAGTTTTCTCCAGTACTGATGAAACCATCTAGCTCCAAGCCAAAACTCTGCAATACTTCAGCTAGGCAAAAGGGAACCACTGGAAGACCCTATTTGCTTATGTCTATAGAGACCTGAAAAACCCAGTTTATACAAGGGCAGTCATATAGAAGTATGAATTGGCGTCCCTCCTTTAAAGAAAAGCTATAAAAATGTCACGCTTCTATACCAATCTCATTTTTCACTGAAGGAAGCAGACCCTTGGCAGCGTCCTTCCTAAATTTCAACTTCTTGCAACCAACCGCTGTGAAAGGAAAAAAAATACTGCCTGCCCAGTCTCCTAGGGAGAGCATGCTCGGTGTGAAAAGGTATGCCTGACCTCACAGGGCACAACATCCATCTACCCCGCACCACCTCAGTGCTACAGCGGTTCTTAACATTACAGGACTATCTACTGATTCTCCCACAAGTCAGGCAAAAATTCCAGCACCCACTCCCAGAGACATATGAAAAGAATGTGAATCTGGTATCCGTATCTATAAAAAAAGTGGATCCAAACCAGTGATTTTAGAGCATCCAATCTAAAGTCACTTTGAAATAACAATTGCATTTCATGGGAATTTACTAAGCTTTTCCAAATGTAGTGTCACACATAGTTATCCAACATGAAAGTGACAAAGAATTCATTTTCAGCATTTGCACAGTATTTTTATTTTGCATTCATTTCGTTTTAAAGAGGCCAAAGTTTCACTTCTTTCGCGCGGTCAACATGGAGCCCTGAAAGGTTTACATTTCCCTTTCAGATGAACAATCCCGATGTTTCTGTCCATATTGATTGGAAATATTTGGATTTCCGATTAAATACTTAACACTAAAAATAGTGCAAGCACATTCAGAAATACCAGGTGAAAAACTCTGGATACTACTCTGATACAAAGCTAATAAACAAAAATTAAAACAAACAAACAAAACAAACCCATACACAAACAACACAACAAACCCAACACCCTCTCCTGGAATCAGTGAAATGATACGGGTACAAAATCGGTGTGGATCAGGTCAGATTTAGGCACTTGATTTCAATGGAAATTTGCCACACTCTGACATTTACTAGAAAAATAAATCCATGAAGGATGGATTACATGACCTCTACAGTTCTTCGCCTTACCCATTCAAACTCACCTCTTCTGAGGTTTTCACCACCTCAGTTCCTTCACCAGTATGTTTTCCTCTCCTTTTTTAAAAAAAGAGGGACACAGCTCCCCCCCGCCAAGGCACACCGCCCTTCCCCGCGCCGGAACCCCTGAGCTGACCCCGGGCTGCTG